GAAGAAACCTCTCCACTGTGATACTCAAAACATTTAATTGGAAATTACAAGAAACGTAGTATTTTAAAGTTTATTTTTCCCCCATGGATTTTTGTTTTTACAAATCTGATCCAATCCAAAGTGCTTGACATTTTAATTCAAGAATACTGTCTGCCCTCTACAATATAATAGTGTATTATTGTGACATGAACAAAGCACTGGTATTCTTTTTAATCTGCAAAAAGAAAAAATGTACAAAAATTTCAGTAAACCTTTATTAAAATGCCTTTCGAACTGAAAACATTTGCAAAAGTATCTTTTTTGTATTTAGATACCAAGTATAAAACTCTGAATGTATTTTACTGTGAGGTGAACGTTAAAAAGCTGATATTCTTTTCCAAGATTTTGGTGTCTGTGGAATACTGGATCCCAAGTCTGTGAGTCCTCTGCTTGGGCAGAATTAAGTCTACAGGGCTGAAGTTAGAGGTGTCTCGTAAAGAGGTTTATTCTCTGTAATTTTCTCTACAATGACACCTCTGCCTCTCTGGGCTTCCTTGGATCACCACACTGGACACATGGAATGGGGGCAGGAGCACACCATAATCCAGACAGCAGCACAGGAGCTGGCTGGATGTCCCCAGGGAGGCGCTGGTGGCAGCGGGAGCAGGGATGTGGAAGGGGCCAGCAGCAGGCCTGTTAGCTAAAGGAGCAAGGAGTAAGAAGAAGAAGAAGCTGATAAGGAGCTTTCTCCAAGGCCCTAACCAAGGAGATCGAGAGAAGGAAGATAAGAGCATTCTGCAGCTGGATGAAGCGTTTTTAGAAAGTTAGGTGGAGTCAGAGTAACTTTTCACCAATGGCATGGTATTGAATTATTGTGGCCAATAGTTAATAGGTAGAAGAAGGGTAAACAACTGGAAAGTGTATAAAAGATCAGCCATTTTCATTCATAAACTGTTGCCAAGTGTTACCAACTGAGACTGCCTGTGGTCTCTGCTTTATGTGGTGACCGCCTCGACTGTGACACGGGGACACCTCACTGGCCTCTCTGTCCCCACTCCAGCTTGGCCCTGCTGCAGGAGGAGCAGGGGGGCACATGGGGAGCATGGATAGGGGTGACCCAGCTGCTCCCCACGGGCTGCCCCTGACCTGCTCCTTGCTATGCATTTCTTTAGTTTTCCCTCTGTCCTGTTCCGAGGAGGGGAGTGAAGAACCCATGTAAAACCTCTCATCCTTTCCTGCTCACAGGCTTCGTGGCATTTGGAAATGTTTTATGTTCTTTTTTCATTTTTCCATATGAGTCTTTGCTGCTGCTGCTGCTGCTTATCTGCAGCTGTTTTCTCTCTCCTTCAGCCTTTCAGCTTCTGCCATCTTTCCTCCAGCTCCTGCTTTTTCACCTTTTTTCCCAAAACTTCCTTACTTACAAACAAAACTTCCTGAGTCACCAGGTGAGGGAAAGACACTGGAACTGTTTCCATCCTGGCAGGGAGCCAGACAGACCAGAGCAGTGCCTCTCAAGGCTTGTTCCTTGGACTCCTTGGATTCCCTGGATCCAAACAGGACTTGTCCTACAGGTACTGAGGAAGGAAGCTTCCAGAAAGGTGAAGCTTCAGGCTGGGAGAGGTAGGCTGGTAGTCAGGACATCGAGCCCTTTTCAGCAGCCATCCCAAAGCTGCACAGGGCACATCAGAGCTGTCCTGTTTTGCAGGTGGGAAAGGCCGTCCCAGATAAAGGAAATAGTTTCATTAGTGCAGAGAGCTGAGGTAGTCACAGGTCTGTGCTCCCACCACGGAGTCAAATTGGCAGAATGATTAAGAGATTAATTTCCTGGTCTGCCGCAGACTCCCGGAGTAGCCCGTGCAAGCAATGTAGATTTTCCTTTACTATTGTGACCTCCCTTTGAAAAATGAAGATAATAGCACATCCAGAATTCCAGGATTAATTAAAGCATGTTATTAAAGGCTGTGACATTTGTTGGGTACACCCGATATGAGAGATAAAAAAAAATACCACATTGGTGAGCTTTGTGAATTCAAGTCATCCAGAACCATAATAAATCTCCTTTTCTAATAAAATAATAACTCAGAAGAGGTGGTCAGAGCTATCAAACATTTATAGAGTGTCTGAGCTCCTGCTCCTGGAGGCAAATTTCCTCTGCAACGAACATGAGGTCTGCACAAGATTAAAAGAAGTTTGCCTTCAGCAGGAGCGAATTCCCACGGGATAACGGGCAGCTAAACTCTCCTGAGACAAAGCTGTTGGTGGGTGAGCGTGTTGCTGGGGCTGAGCCCTTTGCTGCCAAGAGCTGTACGGGATTCAGGTTGGTCCAGAACAACTGGCGAGGCTGGCTGGGTCAGAGGCTCCTCGAGAGGCTCCTTCTCGCTGCCCCCGACAGATGAGCGATGCAGTTAGAGCGATTTTCTCTCTCCAGACTGAAGGGTTTCCTTAATTCTGCAGATTTCCATCTTCTCCCTTGGAAGAAGGATCCAAGGATCCAAGGAGATCCTTGAATCTCCTTGCAGTAAACTGGGTAAATAGGGCACCAGGCAGAACGTGCTGCAAAGCTTGGTGCTGCCTTTGCCTGCCTCGGGCCAGTGCTCAGGTTACACCTCTGGCTTACAGGTCACCAGGCAGTAATGAGCCAAACACAGCTGGAATTGCGGCTTGCAGGTGCCAAACACAGCTGGAATTGTGGCTTGCAGGTGCCAAACACAGCTGGAATTGTGGCTTGCAGGTGCCGGGAACTTCCTGAGCATTAGCTGCTGCTCCTGAAATCCTGTGGCATTTCCTGCCCCAGTGAGCAATCCTGCAGGCAAACCAGCTATTAAACCCGGAGCGCAGGGACGCCCCTGGTGAGGGAAGCAGCCTGGCCCAGGCTCTGAGCCACACAGAGACAGAACCAGTGGCATTTAGAAACCTGGCAGTCACAGCCTCTTCACTTAGACACGTACCAGGGCTCTGCAAAATATTCTTCCCAGTATTTTTAATTAAATTTGTCACGGTGACAGAGGAAGAGCAGAGGTGTGGAGCGTGTGGGTGACTTGCCTGTGGCAGGGCTGGGAATGCCAGTCCCTGATCACATCATCCCAGACTCACTCCAGAGTTTGAGCCCTCAGCATCTCCCAAGGCTTTTCTACATGCACCCATCTGCTTACCAGGGCTTTTATACCAACCCCAGGGCTTTCCATGGTGGTGTTTTTGGCCACACACAAGATGATGAGCTCTGGAGTGGTTCCCTGTGCCCTGTGGCACAATGCTGGCTTGGTCCCTAAGGTCCCTGGGGCTGGGCTGCAGGGCTCTGGACAGACTCTATTTGCAGGAATGTTAATTATTCATTTCTTTATCACCTGGAATAATTTATCATTACTTTAACCCGGGCTGCAGAAACAGCCCGTGCAGCCACACCCAGGGTACTGTGACTCTGCCAGGCCCAGACTGTGCCCAGATGTGGTGGCACGTGGTGGCTTCTGTGAGGCATAGGAGGAGTGAAATCCCAATTTGAGCTCTCTGGGACGTCTTTGCATGAAAAAATTCAGGACCTCGTGTTGCACTTAACAACAGCCAGCTCTGTTCTGATGACATTTAGAGCTGTCAGAATTGATGCTCCTCACTGGCTGTGCCATCACCTGTCCATCCATCCATCCATCTGTTCCTGGGGTCTCCATGTGTCACTGTGACACAGGGACAAGGGCAGGACCTTAAAATGAACTCCAACCCATCCTGTGCTTGTAAAGAATCCACTGGCTGTGCTTAAAGGGGAAAATCCCCGGTATTTAGTTAATTTTTACCTCAAAATGCCCTCTATGTGAATGCAAGAGGGGGTACCATAAACTGCTATTTAAGAGCCCGTGCCTGTTAAATTTGATCAACACAAATTTTGATTCCCAAGTGGGAAGAAGCTTCTGTCTCCTGGAGGAGACAATTTCCAGCAACTCAGCAGTTGGGATGTACTTCAGGGATTCTGTATGTATTTTGGGGTTTTCAGTTTCTGAGTTTAATTAAAGTTTTAGATTAATGGAGAATCGCATGTGACACCAGCTGGTATTCCACGGGAATGGCTGTGCTTTGCCTCGGGGCTATCACTGCTACCCCAGCTTCACTGAAAGCTTTGCTTCTAATTCCACCAGTGCTCCACGTTTTGTTTCCGCAGCTGATTTAATGAAATGAGAGGAGCAAGTTTTGTTTGCCTGACTAAGCTCTCTTGGAGGCTTTGCAGGGATTATGCTGTCAAATTTTCCCAGGGCATTTTCTAGACATGGTGCAGTTTTTTTTCCTCCCCTCCCTTCCTCCTTCCCAGACTGCCCCCAGAGCCACCTGCAATATTGTTTTGGTTCATCGAGGATATCAGAGCTGGAAAAGAGAGGTATCTGCAATGCTGGCTGTCCTTCCACCACATCAGCACTGCTCCCTGCCAGGCCCTGGGGTGGAAGAGGGAAAATGTGACGGGGGGGAAGAGTTTTATCCTGCAGGGGACAAGGAGCAGAGTGCGAGATGTACCAGGGATCACCGTGAGGAAAGGATGCGGGTGCCTGTGAGCGGCACAGCCCGAAACCAGGGCGGGAGGGATCCCAGCGACGGAGCAAACACCGGTGACAGGGAGCAGGATCGCTGAGCGCGGCTTCTGCCTGCTCGGTTAATATGCAAAATACCTCGAACGATAAAGAATAGCAGTAGTGGTTAATTAGGAGCGCTTTGCATTTCATTCTGCTTCCCAGGCTCCGAAAGTGCCGTCTAAGCATGAATTGCAGAACAGGGTGCTCCCGTGGGATGGAGGGAAGCAGCACGGCCAGGATTGACGGGCTGGGATCAATTTTTGGCTGTTGCTGTGGAAGTTGGAATTCCTGCCGTCGGTGTAGGAGTGGCACACAAGCAGCGCCCAGGAGCAGTGGTGCTGGTGGGACCCCAAGCCCACCTGCAGGCAGAAGACAGAGCAAAGCCTTTCCCTGGCACACTTCTCGAGCTGATTTCCAGTGGGGTCAGGAGGAAAATGCTCCTGTCCCGGGAGCAGGTGGGACACCGCAGCGATGCCGTCCCTCACTCCTCAAAGCGTGGGGGATCCCCAGAGCCCGGTGGGCGATGGAAGACCCGAAAACCACCAAGGGCCACCTGCTTGGGGCTTAATTACTCTTCCTCTGTGAGAAAGGGAGATGGGTAAAAGGCAAAACCCTCCCAAACGCAGCAACAACTTGCGCTGCGGGGGGACCCTGCTGGGGGGCGCCGGAGCTGGGCGGGATGGGGATGCCGAGGGCCGCGGGGTAAAGCTGCCGGGAAGAAAAAATATTTATTAAAAAGAGCTTTTTTTTCCTTTCC